GTGAGAAATTCGAATGATAACCCTTTTGTGTCAAAATATATAAATTTCCCGATTGCGCAGAAATCTGTCATCGCGCAGACATCGGCCGAGTCCGATCCTCCAACCAGCACACAGAGTATATCGCACACATATACCTAGCGATGTATGTCTGTGTCTGTACATTATATATACAATATTTGTCTATACATCGGACATTCATTGTCCGATAATCATCTTCTCAGATTCCGGGGATGCTAATGTCCCTCCGACACCCCACACAGGGCCGATCATCACCGACACCGGAGACTTGTAGCAGTTCAGAAAGATACGAATATTGCCGATATATCAGATTATTATTATTACAGATTGATATTGTTACAGTGAAATATTGATATCGATGGATGGCGGGTCGGCTGTTCGATGATTTGTATCGGCGATATGAGGACAATATCATCGGGGAACAGAAGATGATCGTAAGGAGCGGAATTTAGGGATAAATAATAATAAATGATAATGAGGAAAATAAGAAATCAATATCGGAGATTATTCCCTATATTAGTAAATGCAGCTGGCATAATATCGGGTGTGTATATAAGGTCGGGGGCACCTATAATATAATATCGGGTGTGTATAGAAGGTCGGGGGCGTATAATATAATATCGCGGGTGTATAGAAGGTCGGGGCCCCTATAATATATTATCGGATGTGTATAGAAGGTCGGGGGCCCCTATAATATAATATCGGGGGTGTATAGAAGGTCGGGGGCCCCTATAATATATTATCGGATGTGTATAGAAGGTCGGGGGCCCCTATAATATAATATGAAGGGTGTATAGAAGGTCGGGGGCCCTATAAAATAATACCGGGGGTGTATAGAAGGTCGGTGGCGCCTATAATATAATATCGGGTGTGTATAAAAGGTCGGGGCCCCGTTAATATAATGTCGGGGGTGTATAGAAGGTCAGGGGCCCTATAAAATAATACAGGGGTGTAAGGCTCTGTAAAATAGAATAATATAACGTGCGATGTCCGCCGTGTTGGAGGATATTGGGGTTCACAGGTCACCCCGGAACTCTCCTCATCGCACAATAATCTGATTTTCGCTTCTGCGGGTTGCAGGGGAATGAAATCGGACAGACGATTTATGGGACTGACAATTATAGAACGATCTGCACCCCGAGAAGAGTCCGTACGATGTAAATACACATTCCGGGTTTATTATCGTTTCTATCCGCTATCGGAATCACCTGACATTGCCGGGTTCTGTGGAGGTTCTGTATAATAAGATGGAGGTTCTGTATAATAAGATGGAGGTTCTGTATATGGAATTGAGGAATTGGCCGGTTCTGTGAGGTGCTGAGCCTCCAGTGGGGCCCCGTACCTGGGTCTCGGAGAGGTTGAGTTGTCGGGCCAGTTCGGTCCTCTCTCGGCCCACCACATACTGACATCTCTGGAACTCCATCTCCAGCCGGTACAGCTGCTCCGCGGTGAAGGAGGTTCGGGTCCGTTTGGGTCGGTCCAGGTCCAACCCCTTCGGAAGAATGATCTCCCGGATGGAGCCCTTGGCATCTGAGGGGCCACAGAAGGTTCATAATCAATGCCAACAAGTCACCCTACACCTCCCAACCCCAGTCCTGGGGACCCCTGAATCCCATCCGTTCACCACAGGGACCCCGGAATCCCATCCGTCCAACCAGAGGGACCCCGGAATCCCATCCGTCCAACCCCGGGGACCCCTGAACAGCTCGCCCCGTTTTGCTGGAGCCCCTCCCCCCCTTGTTGGCCTGCAGGAGCCCCGGAGTCGGATCATTTATTAATAAAACAAGTTGATAAAAATGAAATAAAAAAATAAATAAATCAGAAGAAGAAAATTGAACCTTTTTTATTGTTTTAAAAGATAAATATTATTCACAAAATACCCCAAAATATCTGAATAAATCA